AATAGCCCTCACTCAGGCACTAGAATTAGGAGAAAGAAAAAGGGTAAATATATATACAGACTCTAAGTATGCTTACCTAGTCCTCTATGCCCATGAGGCAATATGGAGAGAAAGGGAATTCCTAACTTCTGAGGGAACACCTATCAAACATCAGGAAGCCATCAGGAGATTATTATTGGCTATACAGAAACCTAAAGAGGTGGCAGTCTTACACAGCTGGGGTCATCAGAAAGGAAAGGGAAATAAAAGGGAACAGCCAAACAGATATTGAAGCAAAAAGAGCCACAAGGCAGGATCCTCCATTAGAAATGCTTATAGAAGGACCCCTAGTATGGGGTCATCCCCTCTGGGAAACCAAGCCCCAGTACTCAGAAGAAGAAATAGAATGGGGAACCTCACGAGGACACAGTTTCCTCCCCTCAGGGTGGCTAGCCACCGAAGAAGGAAAAATACTTTCACCTGCAGCTAACCAATGGCACACTGTGAAGTGTTCCAAAGAAATAATCCCCTGCACTGCAGGTTATACATTTCAATCCCTGTATCTTTAACCTTCTTGTTAAGTTTGTCTCTTCCAGAATCGAAGCTGTAAAACTACAAATGGTTCTTCAAATGGAGCCCCTGATGCAGTCCATGACTAAGATCTACCACAGACCCCTGGACAGGCCTGCTAGCCCATGCTCTGATGTTAATGACATCGAAGGCAACCCTCCCGAGGAAATCTCAACTGCACAACCCCTACTACACCCCAATTCAGCAGGAAGCAGTTAGAGCGGTCGTCAGTCAACCTCCCCAACAGCACTTGGGTTTTCCTGTAGAAAGCAGGGACTGAGGGACAGGAATAGCTGGATTTCCTAGGCCGACTAAGAATCCCTAATTCTAGCTGGGAAGGTGACCGCATTCACCTTTAAAACAGGGCTTGCAACTTAGTTCACACCCGACCAATCAGGTAGTAAAGAAAGCTCACTAAAATGCTAATTAGGCAAAAACAGGAAGTAAAGAAATAGCCAATCATCTGTCGTCTGAGAGTACAGCGGGAGGCACAATGATCGGGATATAAGCCCAGGCATTCAAGCTGCCAACGGCTATCCTCTTTGGGTCCCCTCCCTTTCTATGGGAGCTCTGTTTTCACTCTATTAAATCTTGCAACTGCCAAAAAAAAAAAAAAAAAAAAAGGGAAGAAAAAGAAAAGAAAATAAACTCTTTGATCCCACAATATTTAAAATAAGTGAAAATTTTAAAAAAATACAGAAATGACGAACTCAAAATTTCCCCTCTTTTGGGGACAGGTACATATCATCAAGAAGAAATACATTAGCAACGTCAAAGGTTCTGATTCTTAAGTTGGGTGATGGGTAAATATGTGTTTGCTTTATTATTCTTTAAACTGTATGTGTATAATACATTCTTGTACAGGATGAATGTTTTAATATAAAGAAATACAAAAATTTTATAAAAATAATGCAAATAGTCTGTCACAGAAGGTGCTCAATATATGGTAATTCTTACATAAGTAATAATAAAATTACATAATGCAATTAACTACAGTGTACACTGATCTAGAGCTAAGCTTAGTAATAAATGAGTTTTGTTGAAAGTTCACACTAGATGAATACCACATGTCATGTTAGGTAAGCTCTTACATTTAAGTTGGAAGTAACATGTTTTATCAAAAAGTAGGTCTCATATGTAAGCACAGTATGTATGGGGAAAAAAGTAAAATAAGTTGGTTCCAATAATTTATTAAATGACTAAGGTCATCTTTTAACCTGAAGCAAAAATAAAAGTTTGTTAATTAGACAAATAAATGTACTGAAGTTTTTCTGATGTCTGAATGATGAATTTTAAAAATTGCTTTGTTACAATATTAGTCACACACCTTTCAGCCTAATACAAAGAACATTTCATTAACATTGGGTATGTCATTGCTCTCTACAGTTTTCTTGAAATGTTACAGAAATGGCAAGAGGTAAAAGTAAATACCAGTGAAATGGCATCCATATCCCAAAGCATCTTCCATAGGTATAAATATACAGATAATGCAGAGGTACGATACTTGGATTTCAAGCCAAGCAATAAATTGTATCCCTATTTGCTAAGTTTATAATGCATATTTTTAAGTTTAATATTAGGATCAAATGAGACATATCCTATTCATACTTTGATACAATATATCACTACAAATAACTATGCTGAAATAACATTAAAATATCTGTATATTAAATCATTCTCAGAGTATTCATAGAAAGAGACAAATGTAAATCCATTTTATGGACAAGGAATTAAATAACTAGTTCAGTGTTATAAATTTCTCTACTTAAACCAATAAAATATAAAAGACTTCATGACAATGCCACATGTATATATACATATGTCTGAACATACATGTTTGTCATGTATGCGTGTGTGTGTGTATATATATATGACATTGTCTTGACAGGTAATTTCCTTAATCAAATTCTAACCTCTCTGCTTTCCTTAAAAATTGTACCAGGTAGGCTAATTACTTAATAAATTCATAATTAGCAAACATCCTTTCCTTGTGAAATTTTATTAAAACACATTTTCGAGCTGCCACATGTAATGTTTATAGAAGATGAAAAATATATACTAATTTATTTTATTTTAAATACCTGATCATATTGGCCATATTTATTACTGAATAGGAATATGTTAAAACGTAATGGACAATAAAGTTGAATGTGTCTACAAAGTAGCAACCAAGAGAAGGACCTATTTCAAGCTGAGGTGATACTGATATTATGACATTAATATGTAACTATGCAAAACAAGAAGAGTAGCTCAAGAAATAATTTGGGTGGATAGACGCTAATATAGATTTTAGGAAAAAAGTTATTAAGATAAATAAATTTCAGATTCTGAAAAAAAAGAATGCTTTACTAAGTAAAATTAACAAGTCTATCTTGATTAAGATCAGAGGCAGAATTTATATCAAATGTGGGTTTCTTTGATGTAAAACTGGCATTTTACTTTTCCACAAAAATAATTTGTTTAGGCTTAAAGTGGAACCAAAACTGGAATTCAGATTTAATGGCCAAGAAACTCATATTTCTCAGAATCAATACAAATTTTGATTTTCATACCTCTAAGAATATTTATCAGATTAAAAATAATATCATGTGCTAGAAAAATTTAAGTAAAATAACAAAGTCTGTCAGGTAAAGCAATTAGCTGGATAAATTTCTCCTTATCCAGAAGAATGAACATCTTGGATGTTCAGAAATGTATACTAAATCAATATCATTGAATAATTATTCATTTTTAGATATGTAACAGTCATGCTTTTAAACTTCAAACACTCTATTTTTGAAAATGTTACTATTAACTGATTGCAGACCAAGTGTTAGCCAGAACTTACATTTTAGCCACAAACAGAAACATATGTTACAAAAGATACTCAGGATTTTGAAAGTATAAAGGAAACATCTCAAGTATCTAATTAACTGGAAAATTTTATGGAGCACAAACCAGCTATTTAAACACTAATAGGTACTACAGGGTCTGTGGTGAAGACACTTATAATTTCATTGATAAAACAAGATATTGAAAAGATTACAGGGCACCAAAAAGTGAAGGTAAGTGCTATTAATGTGCAAAAGAAGGTAATGTTGGTCTGAACTATAAGAGTTAGCAAAGTCTGAATGAAGGAGATGGAATTGAATGACAAAATCCAGGACATCCTGCCTCAAAGTACAGCACTTTGGTGTTTAAGAAAATGGCAGAAGCAGGAAGGTCTTTCTTAACTTCTCTCACCTTTTCTCCCCTGAAGTGGGCCATAAAACCCAGCTGATTCTCCCCTAAAAGCAGATTAAAAGACCCTCATTCCAGAGAGGTCCTCCCTATACCCAGAGGAAAAGAAGTATCTTCAACTCTGAAGACACAGAGATGTTAAGAATCTGAACAACCAGGCCTTGCTATGCTCCCCCCAGTTTATTACCATTCGATTACAGCCTTTTGTGCTCCAACTACACTTTTGTATGACTGTTCATAAAAATACAGTTTTCCCTGTTTCTTTGGGTTTTCATTTCTGAAGGTTCTCATGTCATGTAAAACATACATTAAATAAATCTGCATGCTATTTTCTTGTTAATCTGTCTTTTGTTATAGGTGTCTGGGCCATGAATTCTCCCCTGTGTGAGTTAGAATTTAGATAAGATTTAAATTGGCAATGAGAAAGGACTATCATAGGACCAAGCAAAGGTATGGATATAGGAATAAACAGACGGTGTACTTTATTTTAGCTATGCATTTCAATACTCTTCCTAAAATGTAAAAATGCTTTATCCTCAAAAACTGACAGGAAGGTAGAGGTTGTGGACTTTCAGCAATATATCCATTTTACAAAAAAAAAAAAAAAAAAAAAAAGTGGCTTATTTTTCCCTTCAGATCCCTGGTAACCTGATAAGAAATGCTTCTGAGTGCTTTTCTGCCTTTACTTTTTCTTTTTAAATTATCTTAAGTTTCTTTTACATCAGAGTCTCAATGTTCCACTTTCCCCAGGACTATTTTTTAGTGCTTTAGTATATTGCCACCATCTTTCTATTTAGTGGACATCTGACTATTTTGTTCTTTAAAATTTTGTTTCTCTTTACTTAAAAAAATTGAATAATGGACTATTACTTGATTGCATTTATTGCCATTATCTATGAAGCCTCATCTACTTTGCCATAATTTGTTACATCTTTGCATACATTCTAGACCGTAAAAATCATATTTGTCTTATTCTCAGAGGAGAAAACTGTTTGATCCAAATGCCAATTTAATTATGAAAGATTTTATTTCTATTTTGTACTAGTGAACCAACATGAACTACCAAATTCAAATGTGAATTAAATAATTTAAATCCAAACTGCCATTCATTTAATTGTAAATAAGTAACTTCAAGAAACTAATGACTCCAGTACTTTATCCTCTCAAAGAAGGAGAGTACTTCTTTCCTGTTTTTGTCTCACGGAAGAAAAATGAAAATTTAAAGGATTTACCATTTCCAGTTTCTCTGCCTTAAAGCGAACAGAGGGATTTAGGGAGATCTTTTCTTGTAGTCCATAATTTTCAGTCCAGGCAGAAGCAACATCTAAGAGACAACAGGGTGCACATTAATTGGGAACTTAATTGGAATAGAAATTTTCATTTGACAGGATACGTTCTGAGTTCCTGCTGTTCAAAAATAATTCTAGCTAATCAGTTGGCAGCTTTTAGTTTTGTTTTCGTAACTTTTTCTTTTTTTTTCCTTTTCTTTTCTTTTTTCTTTTGAGACGGAGTCTCACTCTGTCACCCAGGCTGGAGTGCAGTGGCATGATCTTGGCTCAATGTCCGCCTCCCGGGTTCAAGCGATTCTCCTGCCTCAGCCTCCCGAGTAGCTGGGACTACAGGTGCATGCCACCACGCCTGGCTAATTTTTGTATTTTTAGTTAGAGACAGGGTTTCATTATGTTGGCCAGGCAGGTCTCAACCTCAGGTGATCCGCCTCCCTCGGCCTCGCAAATTGCCGGGATTACAGGAGTGAGCCACCGCACCCGGCCAGTTTTCATAATTTTTTTAAGTCTAAATTTTTTATATAAGCTGTCTTCACTTAAGTCCTGAGATACAAGAGTAGCCAATTATGCATTGTGAAGTCCCAAAGATATATTAACTTAAAAGACAAACATACATCCCACCACTACTACATCACCACAATGCCTTAAAAAGATAAAAAGTCTTTTTGTTCAAAGATGTTGATATTTTTTCAAGTGGTAAAAGTGTTTTGTGATGTGAATTCTGGAAGTACTCTGGAAAAAAAACATAAATGCAAGTCATTTCAAGTTTGCACATAAAGTATTATATAGATTCTGTACTTTGAGCTAAAAATCTTATCTCTTATTTTAAAGACAGGTTACATTTCAAGTAGCATAAATGAATTTTCAAGAGCTAAAAGTCATACACTTCTTATCCATTTTCCTACATCTTCTCAATATACCCTGATTATTTAAACGAGCCTTTGTCCTTATTGCATGAATAAAAAAGATGCTAAAAAAGACCAGAACTTGAAATACTGTATGTTTTAATATGCCAAAGTTTGTAAAACAAATTCCTGTAATTCATGTTGATCTTACTATCTAAATTGCCACTATTCTAAATACACTTTTAAATGATATTTTACTAGTTCTACATAGAAACAAGAGGAAGAAGAAAAATCTTTGGAAAATGTCACATCTTTATGCAGTGTTTTAATTTTTTAAAATTTCTCAGAGCATCTGTCTCTAAGTACAAAATGATTTGCATTCTCTTAAGAATATAAGAAGTGCATATGAAAATAAATAGTCTTCCTCTAAACCTTTAACACATCCTTAACATTCTATGTAAAATCTTTAATATAGCTTATAGGTGTCAAGATCATAAAAAAATGGATGCTGACTTTTAGCTCCAAATGGAATTAAACTTTGAAAAAGACTGATTTTAGTATTAAATAGAATTTTTACAATTCTGATAAAAGTAAGTGAATCTCCTTTGTAATCATACCTAATTGTTGGCTATGAAATTAAAAATAATATATACATAGTGTATATATATATACACACACATACATACACATATATTCACATACATATGTGGGTATGCATATATATACACACACATATACACACATATACATATACACACATATATGTATATGTGTGTGTATATATACATATATTTTATATACATACATGTAATTTTTTTCCTCTCCTAAGAGAAATTCTATGCCAAACCTAAAGTGTAGTATAAAGATCAGCATGGAGTGGAATGATATGGAAGACCAACCAGCAGATAACTTTATTTTTCATCCTTTAAGGTTTGGATATGTGAAGCTTGTCCAACGACTTCCAGCTTGGTGTTTGGCCTGCAATTAAGGCACATTAACACTAGGTGGACCCAAGTGAACCTGATTATGGTCTCAAAGACTAAACTTGGGCTTGAATTATTCATTTCAAGTGTTAAGTAATTGAAAGAGTTGCAGAGGGGAGAGCAAGGGGAAGAGAGGAGAATGAGAGAAGGTGAGACAGGAACACTTACAACACTGACATACTGAGGAATGTGTTCTCACGTTTTCCTACATCTAAGCATAAAAATTTGCTATATTGGCCGGGTGCAGTGGCTCATGCCTGTAATCCCAGCACTTCGGGAGGCCAACGCGGGCGGATCATGAGGTCAGGAGATCGAGACCATCTTGACTAACACGGTGAAACCCCGTCTCTACTAAAAACACAAAAAATTAGCCGGGCGTGGTGGCGGGTGCCTGTAGCACCAGCTACTGGGGAGGCTGAGGCAGGAGAATGGCGTGAACCCGGGAGGCGGAGCTTGCAGTGAGCTGAGATTGTGCCACTGCACTCCAGGCTGGGCGACAGAGAGAGACTCCGTTAAAAAAAAAAATGCTATATCTAACAGTGAAAAGAACAAAAGCTCCTATCTTCTATCTAAACAGTAAACTATGTACCTATATAAGTTCATTAATCTTCACAGTGACCACAGATGTTATTATTCCCATCCCAAAGATAAAAGACCAAGGCAGGAAAAAGTAAAGAAATTAGCCTAGGTCACATAGCTAGTACATGATAATGTTAGGAGTCTAATCTCTTGTGACTCCAGACCAATGTTCTTAAATGTGTTCAACATCTTTAATAATGGGTTTGCTCATCTACAAAGTTGGAGGAATAAACCAGATTGCCTCATAGGAGTTAGAAGATCAACAATATCATAGAAAACTACTGTGAAAACATATACAGTATTATTAATATCAACACAGAGACACTGTATTATAAGGAGATTTAATGTAAAATTATACTAACCTTCATTTAACAATATGCAATCAGGACTTAACAAAATCTTTTTCCAGACAACTTACACCTTTACTTTTGAGTTAAAACCTTAAGAGGGTCTGTGTATAACTCCAGCATACTTTGTCAATTCAGAGTAGCTTTACCCGAAAGCCCCTCACAGACAGTTTTCCTCATCTGCCAATGACATCTCTCTATCCCAGTCCCAAGCTCTTTATTTGCTCCTCTCTGGGGGAGTGAGTTTTTCCAAGTATCGCTTATTATTCTCTTGGATCTCTCTCCTTCTTGTCCTTCTCCTTCTCCTCCTCCTTCCCCTTCCTCCTCCTTCTCCTTTCTTTAGAGACAGCGTCTTGGTCTTGCTCTGTCTCCCAGGCTGGAGTGCAGTATCCTGAACATAGCTCACTGCAACTTTGACCTCCTGGGCTCACGTGATCCACCCACCTCAGATTCCCAAGTAGCTGGAACCACAGGTGCATGCCACCATGTCCAGCTAATTTTTTAATTTTTGTAGAAACAGGGTCTCGCAATATTGCCCAAGCTGGTCTTGAACCCCTGGGCTCAAGTGATTTCTCCCATCTCGACCTTCCAAAGTGCTGAGATTATAGGTGTGAGCCACCATGCCTGGCTCCTCTCAGATCTTCTGTTCCTATCCTCTTTGTAGCAGCAGAAGAAAAGGAATGTTTTGTAAGGAAAGGATCAATACAATTTACTTAATACCACGAACTCTGAATGGATATTTTTTCCCATAACTACTTTATTTCAGTTTCAAAAGACTTGGTCTAAAGGAATTAAGTCTTTACACTATTAGTAAAGTTAAAATAATGACTATTTCTTCATGCAACAATTCTTTTTTTTTTGAGATGGTGTCTCGCTCTGTTACCCAGGCTGGAGTGCAGTGGCATAATCTCAGCTCACTGCAACCTCTGCCTTCCGGGTTTAAGCAATTCTCCTGCCTCAGCTTCCCGACTAGCTGGGACTTCAGGCATATACCACCATGCCTGGCTAATTTCTTTTTTTTTTTTGCATTTTTAGTAGAGATGAGGTTTTACTATGTTGGTCAGGCTGGTCTCGAACTTCTGACCTCAACTGATCTGCCCATCTCGGCCTCTCAAAGTGCTGGGATTACAGATGTGATATTCAACTTATATACGGCACTAGTGAACAACTCTGGATTTTGAAATAAATTTCTGTAATAGCATCGTTTTTGAAAACATTTAAATATTATGTGGATTTTTAAAATTCTAACCAATTTTTACACTTTGGGATGATTTTTAGATAAGAACAGACATAGAACTATCTAATTACATTTACTTTTGTTGAGGTTAACATTAAAATTTGTTTATATTTTTTGAATTAGTATCAGGTAACTGAAGGAATCTAGAAGTGATGGTTAATTTCTGATTTGTAACCATCTATAATTAGGTACTTATAACATGCAAATCACAATATATATAAATTATCTAGAGATAATTTAGAGGTGAATTTGCCTTTTTTCCACTCCCCAGAAATATCTTGCCTATTACATTTATGTAGAAGAAAATGAGACTGAGTTTACACAATTTCTACCCTAGAAAAATGTTCCATCTTAATTGTATTTTAGTATTTACTTTACCTATAACTTACTTAAATATATTTTTCACTAACCTATTTTTCTACTACAAAATCTACCACTGTTCTTACAGCGACTGGTATAAATTTACCTGAGATTATTTACTGTTAACAAGATCTCTGTTCTAATCACACCTGACTCTTAGAGTCATCTGACCTCTAGTTCATCCTTAGTTCTTTCATTTGTGGTGCTTCCTTAACTTGAAACGATCTCCTGTGTTCAGTTATCAATTGATGTTTACCACGTTTTTCAAGATATGGATAATGTCTGACTTTTGACAAGAAATTTCTCTTAATTTCTGCATATTGTGACAGATTCCTTATTATATACTAGTTTTTGGGGTCAAGGGGAGGACATAAAATTGAATCAAGAATTGGAAGCTTTTCCTTCTGCTCTATAAACACGACCTAGAATATTATCTGAGCTATACTCTAAGCTATAGGTTCTGTATTATTAGTAACAGGAAAATTTAGTAGGCATATACTATGCACTAATTACAATATAAGTGCTTGACATGCATGATCTTATTTAATCCTCATAACAACTCCGTGTAACTTGTAACTCTTTCAAGGTTACAGAGTTAATAAGATGAAAGCAAGAACTTGAACACTGAGTCTGTATCCAGAGTCTGGTGGTAACCACTGTGCCTTCCTTATACCATACTCATAGCACTCACTACTTTCCTTAGGCCTCTATGTTCATGTCTTTACATAATTTGTTTAAATGTGTTATTTATCCACAAGACAGAATGGTTTTTAGAGTAACAAAACCACCCACATCCTGCTCCGATTAACACAAAAAACTGCAAATAGTAGCTGCTTGATAAAATAAACATACACACACATCTATAAACAAACACATGCATATAAATTAGAATGTTTCCTAATTTGAATAATTAGAATTTTTAGCCCCATGTTTTATTTCACAATATACTATTAAGTATCTCACAGAAAATATCCTAATTTCTTCATAAATCCCATTGTACTGTATTCTATATAACACAGTAAATCCTTACTGAATAAAAGGTTAAAAGAGGCATTGAATAGTTCAATTACTTTAAAAGTTAAAAGCATGTTATATAATTATTAATAATTTATAATATAATCAAGGAATAAAGGATTCTGACTTCCATCATCCAGCAATTTTGATGTTCACCTCATGACTGTTTCATTTGTCTTTTTCTTCTCATACGGGTTCCCAGTTTAAAATAAATATAGTACATCCAGAGACTGGAAATTAATTATGTAAGAGGAATAATACTATAAAGTTTCTAAGGGTCAATAAATCTAAGTAAAAGCAAATATAACTCATGGCTGAAGATTGCTATTAACCCACTGGTAAATACCACCCCAAATCGGAGTAAACCACTGTGGAATATAGTATAAACTCCTGTAAAGATTGGCAGCTATTGGGCTGGGAGCAGTGGCTCATGCCTGTAATCCCAGCACTTTGGGAGGCTGAGGCAGGCAGATCACGAGGTCAGGAAATCAAGATCATCCTGGCTAACACGGTGAAACCCCGTTTCTACTAAAAGTACAAAAAATTAGTTGGGCATGGTGGCGGGCACCTGTAGTCCCAGCTACTCGGGAGGCTGAGCCAGGGGAATGGCGTAAACCCAGGAGGCAGAGCTTCGACAGAGCGAGAATCTGTCTCAAAAAAAAAAATGGTTGCTATTTAATTTAAATTAATGCCTCCTTATTTTTCTGTTCTTATATGAATAATGCTATTAAAACAAAACTAAAATATACAGGTAAAAATTTGCATTATAATTAGGCATATATAATTAGTTTTTCAGTTATGTTTAGTCTTTTTATCGTTGTGTTTAACTTTTGGAGATAATTTCAGGGGACTTTTTCTTGATATTGATCCTGTAAACACCTTACAGCCAAATAAAAATCCTTATTTTACACTTGGCTTAGATAATTAATGCTTTATTGTTTTAAAAAGTCAGTAAATCATTTTATGGTAATTAAGAATCAATAATAATGAATTAACAATACTGACATCCTTTCTGATTGATATCCATATGATTTCTTCCAAAAAAACAAGACACATTTCTTTTCTTAAGGTATGCTCCCTTCTATAATGTGTTTTCTGAAAGGTGTATTTAATATGCCTCATCAGTATTGCACTAAAAGGACACGGCAACCTAATCTTGATCTTTATAGAAGACTTTTCATTATTTGATTTAAACAATTCATGAATTATTATAGCTTTATAAACACTGTTATGACAATGCATCTTTTGAAATTTCAACTCTTTGTTCAGGGAAATTTCTAATAAAAGTCATATTTTAACAGGGACCAACATAAAGACATTATTTTTACTTTTTCATTCACTGAAGGAACAAAGACATAATTCACCCTTCTTCGAAGTCTTAAGTCACATTACATACTCCTCATTGAGAGAGAATTGAAAAAAAAAAAAAACAGGAAAGAGAAATTAAACGTGTATTTACCTGTATTAGACAAACCCACAGAACAGTTTTCTGCAGAAGTAATTGGAATCTGTTCTGTTTTGTTGTATCCAGTTTTTATCTGTGAAAGAAAATGAGGAACATGCAATGTCATTTACTAAAGTAGGTCACTTGAAGCCCATGTTAACATAAAAAGAATGGTTACAGAGATTAAAGTAAATGTCCCTCAAACATGAACCCTCTAAAATTTTGGTATATGCATCTTCAAACAAAGCAATTCAGAATTAAAGGTAACAATTGCTTTCAGCTCTACCACATCCAAGGATAACAAAATATAAAGCCACACATGTTGTCTTTTAAAAGTATTATAGCTGCAAGTGACAAAGTATAAGGGGCTGACAGAAAATCGTATACTCTGTCTCTGTTCAGCATGTACCAGAGACTGAAGTTACCTTTGACGAATTTTATTCTACTGACTAAAAGCGTAAGTTCCCTATTTTACAGCTAACACAGACATAAATAATACACACTTTATTCTATAACTGTAATTTGTTAGGACAGTATAGCAGTTAGTAATTGAGTATGTTAATTCTGATATAGAAATTGCCCATTTTGTGTGATTCTACTTGGGTGAACTATAGCACGCATGAAGGTGCAATACCCTCTTAGACTGGATTAGCCTGGGATTAGCCTCACTGTGTGGGAAAGAAGCTAAGGAACAAAAGGAAGATGGCCTGACTTCAGTCAAGCAGAGAACAGAAATGGCAAATAACTAAACCAACTGAAACTAAATATGACATTCTTAACATAGTTTTGAGTGATATCTAGGCATACCTTTGTGGAACCATTTTGTCATGCTGGTATTTTCTAACCCATCATGCTTCTGGCCACAGGACATGCTGACTTAAAATATGTTTATTGAAAACACAGCATCAAAATTTTAAATAGAAAAAAATAAAAAAAAACTTTCAAAGAAATATTAATTTGTTAACAATTTTACTGAAATAATTCTATATGTATATAACCAATGTAAAAATGTATAGGGAATTTATGGAGTACATACATAAATTTAAGATTACCTGACTTACCTCACAAGAAGGTAAAATGGCATTATTTGTTTTGGGAGTAGATGAGGTCTTTGGGATTAGTATTTCAGGAGGAGAAGAAAAAAAACTAAATGTTGAGGCTTGAGGTCCATATTCTCCTGAAGCTTCTACAAGTGATGTACATGACAGATTTTCTGGCTGAATGTTGTCGGATTTTTGTCTGATGAATGCTATCTCCCAAGCAGATTCTGACCTAGTATTAAAAAGAAATCACTTTATGGATATGCTACGAATACAGTACAACTGAATTCCAAGATAATGTTTCAAATGTTATTAAAAAATATTTCTTATAAAGTACTTAACACATCTTAAATTACTGCTTCCAAGGAGACATCTTAAATGACTCATTCTATCCCATGGGTAGTATAGTTACCTCAACTTGGCTCTGGTAATTATGCTTTTTGCCTCTTCAAATGATACACCAATCATAGATTCCTTGTTGACTGAGACAAGTTGATCTCCTGGTTTCAAACGACCATCCTAACAAAAACAGTAACATTTATAAAGGAACTAATGAGGTATTTAAAAAAATTGATGCAATTAAAGCAATGAAAAGTTTTTGTGAAGAACACCTTCAAAAAGAGTAAAAAGTAAAATCTTAGACAATCTGAGTAGCAAAATGTCTTGATTAAAGTCTGGTTTAGTAATATATATGAGTAAAATGGAATGGTTCATGCATTCCATGAATAAATTTACATGCTAAAGAATTCTGAATATGGCAGGTAGGACATAGGCCAGTATACCAGGAAAAGGGACCTGTTTTAAAAACTGAGCACTATGAGGCTGATCAAGCTCTGACTCTGTGATAAAGTGGGCCAAATAACTGTGGGATTATTTCAGAATACAAAACTCATTTACTTTAATTTCTCTGCATTCCTACATATTTCCTCCCACCGAACTGTTTAATGTGCAGTTATCCCACATTGAAATTTTTAAAACTTTAGTCAAGGGTCTTTTTTAAACAAAATTTTTAAATTTTCAAAATTTTTTGTAGAGATGAGGTCTCATAACACTGCCTAGGCTGGTCTCAAACTCCTGGGCTCAAGCCTAGGATCACCTCGGCCTCCCAAAGTTCCGGGATTACAGGTGAAAGCCACTGCGCCTGGCCAAGGATTTTAATTATATTGATCCTACCTGTATTTCAGCATCATCTTTTTTACTAGACCTGCTATCCCCCTGTGATTAAGGCCTAGTTGGCTGTGCATATATTGTTAGCCATGTTCTGCTAATAATGACAATTCTAACTGGCTGCCTGGTGTTGCCTTTGCTAAGGCCTGGCTTGCTCATAGCTAGCCTAACTGAATAAGACAGAGCATATCAGGAACAAGAGTTAATGTAGTTGTTAGATAAGTTTCCCAGTTTTTGTCTTTTCTTTTCATTCAAACCAGAAAATAAAAATAAGCTTTCTTCTTTTACAGCTCCTAAGGTATTTCCCTATTTATCATTAATTAGTACAGTGGTAGAAACCATTATTTTTATAACTACAGAAAAAGCTTATATGGTTAAAAAGGGAGATTTTCACCTTGATGGTACTTAAGTAACTTTCACAAATTCAAGAAAACATCTTTCTTTAGTCTTATCTACTAAAATATATCCCTTGGATACTGATCTTTAGTCTAAGCTGTATTATTTATAATAATGGTGATTCACAGTTATTTTACTCCTAAATAACAATAGGTATTATTTTTTAAAAAGACATGAAGTACTATCTCTTTCACTGACTAAAGAATACATAGGAAAACAACAAAATTGACATAAAACATTCATGAAAGGATTTTATAGAAACATATCTCAAATACTGTGTAAAAGATGATATAATCTAGATGCATAATGACCCTATCCTACTGAAATGTAAACATTATTTAAAATACTTAAGCCAACAGAGTCAACTTAATTTTAAAACATATATAAGCCACAGTGGCTCACGTCTGTACACCCAACACTTTGGGAGGCTAAGGCAGAAAGATTGCTTGAGCCCAGGAGTTTGAGACCAGCCTGGGCAATAGAGTTAGACCCCATCTTTCAAAAAAAAAAAAAAAAAAAAAATAGCTGGCAATGTCTGTAGTCTCCGTTACTCAGGAGGCTAAAGTGGGAGGATCACTTGAACCCAGGAGGTCAAGGTCATGATTGCACCACTGCTCTCCAGCCTGGGCAACAAAGCAAAATTCTGTCTCAAAAAAAAAAAATATATATCTATATCTATATCTATATATATCTATATATATCTCTCATATATATATCATATATATTTTTATTTTATATATAATTTGAAAACAAATTTTGATTTTATGTAAATATGTGATTAAATATAGTTAGCAAAGTCAGACAACATAACATGCAGTGTTAGTACAGAGAAAAAGTTCACATGAAGGCAATTTAACCCATCTTATATTAAAGTACGCTGATGTACCGAAGCAGCATTTTCTGGCAGGAAGAGAGTCAGAGAAGAGAAGAAGAAGCATGCCTTCTGACTATGACTTCTGGTGTTTACATATTTTTTTCTTTCTAAAAAGTATTCATAGCAGTTAGTTTTTTTCTTTGCCTCCTAGAATAAGATCTCAGCTGATCATGTGAATTTCTGAACCTGTTTAAAAGTCAGAACCTGCAAATGAAAACAAAGCTATTTTTGTAAGTCTGGCATTCGAGTGCATTCTGCCCCAGCTGGATTAATGTATATGTGAAGATACTAACTTCAGAGATATGCTGAGATCTCTTCCACACAGTCTAGATTTCAATTCAGCAGTTACAGAGCAACTACCTGACATGCGAGGCAATGTGCCAAGCACTTTCATATGCTGAACTTCAGATCTGAATTCTTTCACATTGACATTCATGCAGATGTTGAAATAATAATATATTCCTGACCACGTAAACACTTCTGTTAAAAAAGACCAGTACTATTCATTTCTATATTATGACTTTGGTATACAGTTTTCTAAATAATACATTTCAATATTATCAGAAACCATCTATACAGCCTAATTCTGATTTAACTAACTCATTATACCTAATACTAAGGAACAGTCCTTCTGTAAGCCTTAAGATTCCTTTCCTATACTTTTACAAGATGTAGACTGACAGGAACCTTCTTTTAACTCCAGTTATTATTGTGAACTGAGGGAAGCTGTTTAGCTTTTATGAAACTCCATTTTCTTAGCCGTAGAATGGGGATAAATATATGTAACACGAGGTTGCTATAAGAAGTAACATGTGTAAATTATAGCACATTATAGATGTTAAATAAGATGAGGTGAATGAGACTTCCATATCTGTTGTGGACAATTTTCATACTGATAGCAAATTTAATTATATTACTCATCAGATTGAGAAACTTCGATGGCTGCCAACTGGTAGGAAAAGTTGAAACTCCTCAGTGTCCCAAATCCAGCACAACAAATTTACTGCAGCTTATTTTTTCTAGCTTCACCATTCACCTTCCACACCAGCATATAAATTCTTCATGCTACTCTCAGAGAATGTGCCTCAAATCAGCCATGGTCTTTCGAACCTCAATGTTTTTACACATGTGAATTCTCATCTAGAATGCCACCATCTACCCTCCCACTTCTCTGTGATAAACTCTGACTTAAACGTCACAGCCCAATTCAAACACTATCTCTGCTGCAAGTTTTCTCTAGTTCCCCAGGATTTACTTAATTGTTGTATCTTTTTGCTCAAAAAACACTTTTACTTACCTAAAGGATTGCACTTAATCTGTATGGTCCTTACACATCCGCTTTTCCCTGCCTTCGCGTTAGAATATACTAAATTAGCAACTCCCAATCTAGGGGCAATGATTCTTTTAGTGGGCCGGAATCACCAATTCTTTCAGTTAGGCAGAACTAGAACTCTGTCCTTTTCATGGTTATTTCCCTGGCACAGTGCTAGGTATACAGGAAGTCCACAGTAGGTTAAAGGGGGCCAAGAAACAGTCCGAGGATTTTAGGGTAGCTAGGACAGAAATAATAATGGCAAAGGAATAAAGAGAGTGACACTGCAAAGGGAACCATCTTGGCTGCTACTTCTTCAGCTCCCACCAGTGGGACCGGTTTCTTCATAGTTTGCCATCCAGAGGCCTGATCCTATTTATCTAAAAGCCTTAACCCTGGTTCCAGCGCTATGCTCAGCATGAAAACAGATTTCCTCTGAAAGTTAAATATATCCTACTTCAATGCCACCAATTACATGATGACATTGATTGTGAGACCTATAATTTCAGAGATAGAAGAGGAAAAGTTACATATATACACACACTCAGAAGTATATTACATACCGATATATGCATGTTATATATATGTGTGTGTATGTGCATGCATAGCTTATATTTGTATGTTTTAATGTATGTCTTAGAACCAACTGAAGAAAATATGAAATATACTATCAGATTTGAAGAGAGGATTTTGATTTCTGTCTGCTTTCCCTATGTTACCAGCAACAAAAGAAAGAAAAAAAAAATGAACATTTGAGAACTTTAAAGTATTGTCGGAAATCTGACACAAAGGCCCAAGGAGGAAGTACCTTGGTGTGGAGCCCAAATGGTGCCAGTGGAAGGGTAAATAAGCAGATCAGAAATCCTCGGAAATGTGACAAAATGACTACGGAACCATTCATTTCTAAATTTAAACCGAGCAAGTATGTATGTGTCAGGCACCACACCAAAGACCAACAACGTTCCTGTGAATAAAATCAGAGAGCACCCTTGCCTTTAAGAAACACTGTCTTGTGGTTCAGGCAGAGTTGATTAAACAATCATAAATATAAATACATCATTACAAACTGAGATAGGTGACACAAAGGAAAGGAACAAGAGTTAGGAGCATATATAGAAAAAATAAAACATAGCCTAGACTGGGGAAAAGCAGGCAACATAATCCTTAGGCAATAGTATTTGAATTGATAAGGAAATAATACGGGAAAGAAAATGGAGTGCTGTTTCCAGACTAAGGGAACAGCATATGACATGGAAAAAAAAAAATTGGCCCCTTCCAGGAACTGAGAAAATGCATAGAGCCAGAGAAGAAGAGGGCAGAAGCCACACTATATGGAACCTTGTAGGCAACCAAATATTAGTAAGATATAGGTTGGGAGGGAAATAGATATGGCGCATGAGAACAAACAATGTTATTGAAAGAACTGATTCAAAACTGATGACAGTTTAAGCTCCAGTCATGAGAATGAAGATCAAGAAGACTGATGGATTCAAGAGATATTTAGAGAGTAGAAAGTCAATGGTATGTGTTAATGAATTGAATAGTGTCATGGGAGTGGAAATAAATTTTCTAACTTTGTGTACCTGGCTGTCTTTCACCAAGACTAGGTAAACTGGAAGAGACTCTGTTTGGGAAGAGATGAGCAGAATATGGTGTGATGTAAATGTTATGAGTTCAGCTTCAGAAATGTTGAGTTTCAGATACCCTTAAGAGGTCCAAGCAAAAATGTTGATCAGGGAATTGAATATGGGTATGACGCTTAAAGGAGTGTCTAGGCCAGAAAAAGGGTCTAGGATTGACCCCAGATAGATACGGGACTAGCTGACAAGGTAAAAGGGCCTTGGACCTCTCTTATTTCCTTAACTTTAGCAACTAATATAGTTGTTCTCAATTTATAGGGTGCCTCTAGCTCTTAGAGCTGAGGAAATCTTGGTTCTACTAGAACTGAAAAGATGTATTCATAATATCCCATATTTGAATTCTGGATATGTTTTTCAAAGAAACATAATATTTTGCTTCTACTAAACCAGTATTTCATTCTCATATTTTCCAGGAGGAAAACATTTGGGGTGGGTGGTGGCAAACCATGAATAATTAAAGAAAAGTCCTTCTGAGTCCCAATAACTCCCTTACAGTTTGGAAGATCTGCAAATATAAATGAAATATAATCTAGCTATAAGCTTGAGATTACCTATATTGTTAATTATGAAACATTATAATGTTAAAATTACAGAAAGTTAAATCATTCATACGCATTTAAAAAATATTAACAGTTACTCAGTTCAGCAACTTCATTAAGATAACCTTATGAGTTTGTGTTTCCTATTCTACAGATTATACTATGTAGAAATTCTGTGCAGACTAGAAATTTATAACATGTTAAAACAGTATTTAGAATACAGTGAATGTATCGTTATTAATACATTGTTTTGAAATAGTTATATCAATTTTGTATTTGAAGAATAAATATGCATATGCATACAGCTCTCCATCTTGAGAAAATATTTAAAAATAATGTAAGCACTAGAAAATTACTCTTGTATACGTTTTTTAATTTTTTATTTTTTAGAGACGCTCTGTTGCCCAGGCTGGAGTGTAGTGATGCAATCATAGCTCACTGCAACCTGGAACTCCTGGGCTCAAGGGATCCTTCCGCCCGGGCCTCCAAAAGTGCTGGGATTACAGGCATGAGCCATTGCCCCCGGTCCTCTTCTCCTACACCTTTTTCTATCTTGCCTGTTTTTGGTCAGCTGTGACCAGGTAGAAAGAACATTAATAGCTCTGTGCTGCCCTCTAGTGGTAGATAGAGAATATAGTCAATGAGAAAATTTTGCCTTTTAATACTTCTTTCAATGAAATTCTAAGAAAAAGTAGATATTATAAGAATAATTCCTTAATTTGCTATCACTGACAGAAGACAAAGAGTCATTAAGCACCACTGCTATCAATTTATTACTCTAACTCCAAACAGTTTTCATCGTAATAAACAAGCACAAATTCATGCTTATCTTAAAAGCAAATTCTTAGCTTAGGCGCGGTAGCTCACGCCTGTAATCCCAGCACCTGGCGATGCTGAGGCAGATGGATAACCTGAAGTCAGGAGTTCGAGACTAGCCTGGCCAACATGGTGAAACTCCGTCTCTACTAAAAATACAAAAATTAGTTAGGTGTGTTGGCACGCACCTGTAATCCCAGCTACTCGGGAAGCTGAGGTGGGAGAATCGCTTGAACCTGGGAGGTGGAGGTTGCAGTGAGCCGAGATTGTGCCACTGCACTCCAGCCTGGGCAACAGAGTGAGACTCTGTCTCAAAAAAAAAAAAAAAAAAAAAAAAGAAAAAAAAGCAAGCAAATTCTTATCATTTGTTAGGTACCTTGATCTATTATTGCGTTATATCAAGGGTAGTTTAAGAAATGCCTTAGCTATATTGAACACACACACACACACCTCTCAGCTTTAACACTAAAGAAACACCTCGGCCGGGCGCGGTGGCTCATGCCTGTAATCCCAGCACTTTGGGAGGCCGAGGTGGGCGGATCACGAGGTCAGGAGCTAGGAGACCATCCTGGCTAACACGGTGAAACCCCATCTCTACTAAAAATACAAAAATTAGCCAGGCCTGGTGGCAGGCGCCTGTAGTCCCAGCTACTCTGGAGGCTAAGGTAGGAGAACGGCGTGAACCCGGGAGGCGGAGCTTGCAGTGAGCCGAGATCGCGCCACTGCACTCCAGCCTGGGCGACAGAGCAAGATTCCGTCTGAAAGAAAAGAAAAAAAAAAAAAAAACAAAAGAAACACCTCAATTCTTGGAAGAAAAAAATTCAATTTTTGGTTTGTTTGGATTTGTTTAAATTTAGTTTTTAAATATGTTGATTAATAATTTAAATTTAATAGCCAAAAAATTATATCATTAAACTTATTAAATAATACTTTTTTTGAGACAGGGTCTCACTCTGTCATCCAGGCTAGAGTGCAGTGGCACGATCACACCTCACTGCTCTTGATCTTCAGGGTTCAAGCAATACTCCCACCTCAGCCTCCAAGTACCTGGGACTACTGGCAGGCGCCTCCACGCCCGGCTGATTTTTTTTATTTTTAATAGAGTTCAAGTCTCTCTACGTTGCCCAGGCTGGTCTCAAACTCCTGAGCTCAAGCAATCTTCCTGCCTCTGCCTCCCCAAAGCTAGGATTACAGGCATTAGCCACCATGCCTGGCCTATATGACACTTAGAAAGTACATTTAAAACAGGCCTTATTATCTGAACAACCGTAAAACAATTGAAATTACTACAACTATTTTGGAAGTTATTGGTAAAACGGAATTTTTCCCTAACAAGACAAAAAAATCCAGTTGAAAAGATAAACTGCTTGGTAAACAAGTGTTTGCAGTGGTGGGGGACGGATGGGGCAGTGGGTAAAAGTAGTAGGACTATTTACTTAACCAAACAACAAGAACAAAATAAGAAGATCCTTTCTCTTGCTATATCGCTTGATATTAATAGAATATTTTATTAATTCTTAATTATTAATTTCATTAAATTCTTTATATCTGATATCTCTCCAAAATCAAATGGAGGCAATCAAATGGAGAATATTTTATTAATTTTATTAATTATTAATATAATTTTATTAAATTCTTTATATCTGCTATCTCTCCAAAATAAAGTGGACGCAATTTTCAAAAAATGACACATAATCACTTTAGTAAAACAGAAACAGCAAATGAAATCCAAGAAGAATGAGAATTCAAATATAGTAACCAGTTTGTTAAATTGCTGGGGTTGTGCTTCAAATTTGGGTCTCAGCTTCCTACCAACCAAAGTGAAAGGGAGCTCATTATATAACATATTTCTTACATTGAAGAGGAGAGTAAGACTTTCTAATTCCTAAAAAAAGACAATTTCTGGTTTTAACGAGTGATAAAACTCATTAGCTCAACAAGAACTGCAAATTCAGAAATTAGTAGATTTTGTTTGCTGTTTCTGTTTTGTTTTGCATTTAGTAGAGGCTAAATGAATGTAATTAAAGTTCTACTGATCCAACTTAATTTAAAAACTCAAAGTAGTAGAAAGATAACATGTCATCAAATATAATTTCTCTCAATCAGATACAGGATAAAAGTTGAACAACACGTAATTTAAAAATAATAACCTTATCTTACAGTCAGAAATATCTATTATTTTCATATAAGAATAACCTATTTATTTCTTAGTTTAAAGCTCCTTAAGGGCAACAGTCTTATCTCCTAGTTCCTTTGTATTTTTCACTGAGGTATGGTCACAGTGGATATAAATTCACTAATAAAGAAGAAAAAATAAACTTCACCACTGGTAGGTCTTATTGTTTGTATTTTTGGTGGGCAGGGGACATATTTTTACCTTATAACAGTCTCCTCCAGGAATAATTTCCTGAATATATACCAATGGGCCTTCATTCCGGTTAATTCCTCCTAGTATCTTCAGGCCAAGGCCTGTTTCCTTGGTAATTGTAATCACCTGAAAGGCAGGATCCCTAAGATAAAGTAAATTAGCACACACAGGTTAGTCTAGAGATCTGTACCTATTTTTTTCTTTAAACTACTTATTAAATGAAATTCTTAGATCTAGACCAGTGGCCCCTAACCTTTTTTGGCACCAGGGACTTATTTCGTGGAAGACAATTTTTCCATGGGAGGTGGAGAGGGGATGGGGGTGCAAAGAGGCGATGGTTTCGGGATGATTCAAATGCACTACATTTATTGTGCACTTTATTATTACATTGTAACATATAATAAAATAATTATATAACTAACAATAATGTAGAATCGGGGGAGCCCTGAGCTTGTTTTCCTGCAACTAGACAGTTCCATCTGGAGGTGAGGGGAGACAGTGACAGATCATCAGCCACTAGATTCTCACAAGGAGCACGCAAGCTAAATCCCTCACATGCACAGTTCACAAAAGGGTTCGTGCTCCTACGAGAATTGAATGTCACCACTGATCTGACAGGAGGCAGAGCTCAGGCAGTAATGCTCGCTTGCCCTCAGCTCACCTCCTGCTGTGTGGCCTGGTTCCTAACAGACTACAGACCACTACCAGTCTGCGCCCAGGGGTTAGGGACCCCTGATCCAGACAACCCAAAATACTTAGTACTTACTAGCAATGACATTTTTAGAAGTATGGTGACATAACAGCAATTAAACGAGTTTGCTTGCCTATTATCTACAAAACCAAAACACAAAAGAATTTATAATGATAATGCTTATTTCTTTGGAGTAGAACAAAAATTTATTAAAGGTGATGGAAAAGATTTGCTTTTACCTGGTTATTAGACTACCTGAAGAATTCCAAAACTAAATATTTTAAGTAAGTAGCTTTAAAAGACATGCCTGTGGCCATTTAAAGCAAAGTTAATGTGACTTCCATTTGAATCTCAAAATTTATCTTTTTAATTTAGAAAGAATATTTTCTTGGTACAAAGTACTTGTTTCAACTGTAATTTCTGCCAGACATAAAAGCAATGCCATTTGAAAAGAAGGGACTGTAAAAAAAGTCCTGCAAAAGGAATATCCAAGTTGCGTTTCTGAATACCTAGGTCAGACCAGAGACTTTCACTGGTCAAACAAAACTTGATTAAGTTTGAAATAAGACTGAGGGCTGCCTGCTTACTTATTATGTACTGAGTACTGTGCTAAACAATACCTAAATAATGACATTTAATTTAATATTTATAAAATCCTTAAGATTCTTATCCTTATTTTTTTAAAGCACCCAAAATTCAGGTAGGTTAACTTGATGGCCCAAGAGTGAGCCCAGTCAGTCTTACCTCAGAGGCAAAATGTGATATGTAATCTACTTTGTTGTTGTATTAGAGCCACTGTTGAATATAGGACTTCCAGCTATCTTCAAAAACATCGAATAACTGAAACTACTATTAAAAAAAGAGTTACTTCATATCTTACATGATTATAGTTTTTAGAAAAAGCTTTCTTAGCTTCCACCATAGAAATTCTAAGAATATCTTTAAGAAAACTGTTGCATTCAAAAAAATAATTTCTAAAAAGAAGAAAGAAAATTTTTTAAAAAGGATATAGCACTCCCTGTTTTTGATATTTTGCTCTCCATGTATAACATCATTTAGAGCTGTATTACAGGTATACTGAATTCAGCTCTAATTTGGGAAGGTCTATCTGGTTTCTAGGGCAATAGTCAGTCAGCTAGAAAACAGGCAGAGAGGACAGGGTCCAAGGGTCCAAATGCACCCTAAATTCATTCATTCTTTTTTTTTTTTTTTTTTGAGACGGGGTCTTGCTCTGTCCCAGCTGGAGTGCAGTGGTGTGATCTCGGCTTACTGCAACCTCTACCTCCCAGGTTAAGTGACTCTCCCACCTCAGCCTCCTGAATAGCTGGGATTACAGTATGTGCCACCACACCCAGCTAATTGTTGGTATTTTTGGTAGAGACAGGGTTTCACCATGTTGGCCAGGCTGTTCTCAAACTCCTGACCTCAAGTGATCTGCCCCCTCAGCCTCCCAAAGTGCTGGGATTACAGGCATGAGGCACCGCCCCTGGCCAATAAACCCATTCTTTACGGGATAGTAGATTGCAAAAACATAAATGAGTAAAGCCTAGAAATGAAAGAGAAGGTAAGAAAGGGAAGTAAGGTGCCTTATTAGATCGCTCCACTAACTCTTGAACCCTCCAAATGTGAATGTCCTTCACTGGGGGCACAATAATCTCCAGCATATATTATTGTTTCAGTGCAGGATCTTACTTTTCTAATTCTAACAAAGTGTTATTAGCACAGCAGTTTAGTGCTGTTAGTATTTTTTCTTTATAAATCTATCCATATATTTTCTGAATTAATATCCATATATTTTCTGAATTGCTATCTTACTACTTAAACAGTTTTAGATCTTATTTTTTTTCTTACCCAGAATTATTATAAGCAATGTCTATGTTGTTAAAAGTTCTTCTTAAACATAAATTTATATGTTCATGGCAGCATAAAATTTACATACACGACTAGGACCTTATTTTAAAACTCTTCTATTGTTAAGATTTTAGATTATATACTTTTTTCCTATTAAATATTAAAATAGTTCTGCTCAACTTTACTCATAATAAGAGAATTACAAGTTAAAACTGCAGAGATACTACTACTCACCTACCAGACCAATGAAAATTTAAAACTTCAACAACATACTCTGATGACAAAGCTATGGGAAACAGGCATTTTTGCACACTGCTGGTGGGAATGCAAAATGGTACAACTTCTAAAGAGATAAATTGGTAACCTCTAACAAAAAACAACCCTCTGGTCCAGCAATTCCATTTCTAGGAATCTATCCCAAAAATACTCTGGCAAAAAATAGAAAATGACTTATCTGCTAGGTTATTCATTTTGGCATAATTTGTATTCACCAGAAATTGCAAACAATACAAAGGTCCATCCATGAGGTACTGGCTGAATAAACCATGGTACATCCACACCATAGAATATTATGCAGTTATAACAAAAAACAAGGAAGATTTCTATAAACTGATATGAAGGGATCACCAGGATATACATTAAAACAAAAAGGCAAGGTCAAAACAGTATACATGATACCTTTTACTTAAGAATATTCTGGGGAGTGGAATCCAAATATATATAATTATCATGTGTACATATATTATATATGTGTATATTTATTTTTATATATATGCATTGGCTTAAACAAAAAGAAGCACTACAAAAGGACCAAGAATAAAAACAACTTTTTATAGAGAGAATGAGGGCACACAGTGAAGACTAGACTAAGAGCAAGATTTTTTTTAATATACCTTGTTAAAGGTATGTTTTATGTTTTCAAAATGGCCACCAATTCCTCCCATTCCTGTCTGCATGCATCTTGGTAATGTGACTTTACTGCTTCCTTTCATTAAAAGCTAAGTCTAGGCTGGGCACAGTGGCTCACGCCTGTAATCCCAGCACTTTGGGAGGCCGAGGCGGGCAGATCATGAGGTCAGGAGATCAATACCATCCTGGTTGACACAGTGAAACCCCGTCTCTACTAAAAATACAAAGAAATTAGCCGGGCATGGTGGTGGGCACCTGTAGTCCCAGTTACTTGGGAGGCTGTGGCAGGAGAATGGCATGAACCCAGAAGGCAGAGCTTGCAGTGAGCCGAGATTATGCCACTGCACTCAAGCCTGGGCAACACAGCCAGACTCCGTCTCAAAAAAAAAAAAAAAAAAAAAGAAAAGAAAAAAGCTAAGTCTATATCTCCACTCCTTGAATTTTTACTTGGTTATTTAAATTGCTTTGGCCAATGAGATACCAGCAAATGTGAGGAAAATGGATATTTGGAAAACACCTGTGCTTCTGCCACCAGGCAAAAAGCTTGAGCCAGCCTCCTGAAGAATGACAGACTAGTTCTAAAGAGACCTCAGCCATTCAGCCTTCCTAGCTGAGGCCTCACAAGATGTAAATGAGGCCATCCTACATTATCTGGAATAGAGCAGAACTGCTCAACCAACCCACTGAATCATGAGAAAGAATAAATGCTTATTGTTTTAAGGGACTTTAGGGTGGTTTATTAGTCACCAATAGTTAATCTTATCAAAATTTTTAACAGAATTATAGAATATTCTAGATATTAAAAAGTCAAAATTTAAAAAAGAAATCTCAGAAGAGTTTTTAAAAATGAATTTTATAATTGTTTAATTTTTATTATTTTTAGAGACAGAGTCTTGCTCTGTTGCCCAGCTGGAGTCCAGCGACTATTAACAGGTGCAATCATAGCATACTACAGCCTCAAACTCCCAATCTCCCGAGCAGTTGGGACTACAGGCATGCCCTACAGGCATGCCCTACCATGCCTTGTACAGATGACTTTAAAGAGAATGCAGATTTTGTTCTATACACTGATTTACACTGAAAGGTAATTCAATGTATTACTTTACTTACTACTCATTACTGCTATCCTAGACCACATTAGAGAGCTAGATGTAAAAAACTTTTAATCAAATGTTCATTAGTAGTTTACATATTTCAAACTATATTTCAAAATGTATTAAATTTAAAAGTTACTTTTCAAGTAGACTGGATGGTACTACAGTAGATGTATTTTTATTCATGCTTTCACCAAAGTAGCCTTGGATTTAACAGCTGTATAAACGAAGATCTTGATGAAGAGTCTAGAAATTCTTCTTTTCCTAGGATTGAAGAAGTAGAAATTAAATTGTCAGGTCTTAGAACTGTCAAATTTGATTCCAACTGTTCGTAAAAACATTTTATACACTTGGCACATAAATAATATAAGCCTGTGTATAGATGTTAGATGTATGTATTTTGAGTTATGGCATTTTAGTCACTGACAATAACATCAGAGAAGTGTAAAGACAACTCATTAGATAGATAGACACATGTTTATATCATTATGAATATCCATATCTATATAAAATCTTCATTCTCTGGCAAAAGTGAAGAATACAGCTAAGCTTTAGGTAACTATTACAACTTCCACCCTTGGTAAGCTTAAAAATCACATAATAGTTAAAGATTGAGGAAAATGTCCCCGGCGAGCACAAGGCTATGAAGCTTATAGTCAGAAAAGTAATTATCCAATGCATTTGAAAAAAACTAAATTCTTATTATCTTACCAACTATCTTGAGGCACTTCCTGCAGATCCTATATTACTCTGACTAATATTATTCCAGGAACTTCTTAAATGGCTTTCCTATGAAGAGAAAAAAAATATGCTTTTAATGTCTTATATTGTTCCACTGTGAAAATTACAGAGAATAGTGCAGTTTCATTGAATTAAAACAAACTGTATTTGAACAGAGATTTACCACCTTTTCATAAGAAAAATGAATGAAGCAAAGGAACTTAAAGTTGACAAAGACACTAGGATCATTTAGTACAACTCTCTTCCTGAAGAAATGAAGAGCTAGATTCAGAGACTGTGTGGTTTTCCCTCACAAATGAAAAATAGTGTTTTTTTTTTATCTTCTTCTCCTCCTAACTAGAACTCAGGTTATAGTCTACAGGATGGACCTTGAGATCTGATAGGCCTGGGTTCTCATTTGAAAGTTCAGGCTTCTCCAAGCCTCGGTTTCCACAAAGGTACAGTGGGTGCCTTGATTGTGGTGATTTCACAAATGGACACACATGTCAAATGTAACAAACTGTCTCACTTTAAATATCTGCTGTTTGTTGTAAATAGCTTAACAAAGTTAAACTTTAAAAAACCCGATTTTCAGTTAAAAATGGCATCTTGACCTTGGCACATATCTTCTTTCCCTCCCAACAGCCAACTAATATGAAAGTCTTAGGGTAAAGAGTTACAAACTGTATAAACTCAGAATGTTGAAGAGTAAATGGGAAAAGAGCCATTGGATGAAAATTAAGTTTCTGGAAGATAAAAAATAGATGGTTGGGTGACAATTGGTAACAAGAGGGCTGAAGAAGCTAAAATTTAGGGCAGTGCTTCTTAAACATTTTTTAAGTCTGAGCACACACATAATGGTAATATTTGTATGGCATACTAAGCTAAAGAAAGGTGATATCCTCTGAAAAGCAGCACATCAGCAACTGATTCACAACAAAATTCTGGCCTAGGAAACAGGTGCAGGAGGAATGTATCTTAAAGAATCCCAGAGAAACTGAGGACTCAGAAACAAAAAGTTCTAGGCAGAACAAAACTGAGAGATTGAGGACTAAAATCAAGAGGATCATCCTATCTTTTCTTCAACCACTGTATGCAGAAGAAATCACAGATTCTTCTGTAAATGAACTGAATGGGCCCCAAACACAAAACAACTACTTTTGAGAACCTAACATAGCGATATATTCACTGGTCTGGGTGGTAAAAACACATTTTGACTTCACAGCCTCTGTAGTAGCAAGCGACAGGAACCATGGAAGCATGCAGATCAACAATAGCCAGAGACATGAAGCCATCAAGCCACAATGTCGGTAGCAAAAGTCCAATGACCATGAAGTAAGAAAGTTATTCAGTACCCATGAGGAAAAGAAGGGCCACCTGAGGGAGGAGCTTACAATCCTTGGGCTTTGACTAGCAGTCACTCAGAGTCAAGAGCCACCGCAGCTGTCCACAAGACTGATATAGCCATGGAAGAGAGTTCAATTCCAAAACCAAGTTTGCATAAGTTCATTATACACTGCTTTAATAATGCATGCATGGAGCAGATTCTCAAACCTCAAGAGAGGTCATTCTCATATAACAATAATAACAGTAACTACCATTAATTGGCACTATGTTTCACATACTATGTATTCCAAATGTATTTATTTAATATTGTGGAAAATGTACTAGACCTAAGTTTAAAAAAGAAAAGAAAAGAAATGCAGAGTTCAAATGGCAATATTGCCATGTGTTAGTAATATGGCATTAGAAAAACTGCCTAACCTCTTAGCATCTCCTCATATTAAGTAAGGTAGGAATAGTAGCACCTTGCTCAAAAACAGATGTGAAAAATTGAGCAGTCTTTCTACTGGTACCAAAGTGAGTAAGATCCTCATCTTTGGTGAGTTGTTCTAACTGGACACAGGTCCCCAGGTCCCCTGGGAACGTATCCAAGTCTAATGATGTATAAATGCTACTGTACAACACATTTCATATAATATACTTAACAAGACATTTTAAAACATTTCTATTTTAAGGTACAAAATAAAATTTAGGTGTTTATTCCATTCACTTAACATGTTGGCAGTGTCCTAAGTGCTAGAGATGAGATGAGATCAGGAGGGGCGAAGTGCTCTGACAGCAGTATACACAGGGAGTATGGAGAAAGGCTGCGTAACCTGGGATCTAAGTCATCATTAAACACCAATACAGCCAGGCGCCATGTCACAGGATTTTCTTCCCACAAGAACCCCACAAGGGAGGTATTATTAACCCAATTTTATACAAAAGAAAAATAAGTCATATAGAAAGTATGTGACTTGTCCATTGTCACAGGCTAGTTGTAAAGTAGAGTTTGAATCCTGCTCTTTCTTGCTCCAAACCCAAGCTGTTTCTACTACAGTATGGTAGAAAATTAATTCAGGTAAAAATCTTGATTCACCAAAAAAGTAAAATGAGAGAGTAAGAGTAGTAATGTGTTATCTCTTTTATATAAAGATGACACTACTGATTAAACAGAAGTGGGTTTAATCTTATGCATCCCAACAGTGGGCTTATTTTTTGTATTAACAAGGTATTCATTGTCATGTCCTTAAATATCATAACATGCCTGTCCTTTCCCTCTCCTTTGCCTGCTTCCTACTCTTTCTTTATACAAGCTTGCAAGGCCCTCAACCAACAGGGATTCTAGTAATGTTACATACATACCACACACACACACACACACACACACACACACACACACACGCACGCCACCCTCAAGTTCCCATAATTAATAAATAACACAGAAGGAAAACATTCTGTTCTTTTACTAAAAATACGCACATTGAAGACAAATATATTGTTATTCTAGTTTGGTGAATCATAAGAGGGAAACAGTTAGGTCAGCAAAAACAAAGAAAGTAGAACATTGGAGAAAAAAAAATCTTGTTGTATAAGATGAATCTATTCCAGAAAACTTAAATTAGAGCTTTTCTTTGATAAATCTGTTTACTTATGATCTCATTAAAAAAATCTTCATCCCATATAATTAGAAATCTCATCAGATAAAAAAAAAAATCTGCCCATAACGCATATGGTGTTTGAGTAAGACTTAGTAATTTATATTCTCAGACATGGTATTCAATAAAAGCAGTTCTTTTCACTGGACAAAAAATAGAGAAAATAAAAGGGATAAAAATATCTTCTGCCAGAAATTATAGTAAATATTAATTTAATGAAATTACAAAAATGCCATTATGAAATTGATAGAAACTGCCAAATGTCCCTCAGTCAGGGTTGTACTAATTTACTGTCTCACCAACAATAGTGCCTGTTACTCTGAATTTTCTCCACTATGGTATACTAAATAACTTTTGGATTTTTGTCAGTCTTATTGATGAAGATGGTATCTCAAGGTGGTTGGAGTGAAGCTGAAGAGTTTTTTATGCTTTAAGAACCATTCAGTATCTTCTTTTATGTGAACTGTGTTTTTTTTAACACCTTTTGCCAATTCTTCTATTTATTGTTAGGTCTTTTTCTGTTCAGTTTCTAGGAGTTCTTAAATCTTACGGAAATTCTCTATCAGCACTAAGAATTGCAAATATATCCCCCGCCCCCAACACTCTTCTTCTGGGTTATAGGCTTTTTGTTACGCAAAAGTTTGTGGCTAACTTTATGAATCTTCATTATGATTTCCAGGTTTTAGGTCAAATTAGAAACTCCTTGCCCACTCCAAAGTTATAAAGAATTCTCTCATATTTTCTTCTAGTACTCTTATGGTTTCATTTTTAAATATTTGATCCATTTGGAATCCATCGTAATATAAAGTACAAATCCAACTCATATTTTTCCCAAGAAGACCACCCCATTGTCTCAACTACATTTATTAAAAAACCCATCTTTTCCCCACCATTTTGAGATACAACTTTCATCATATACAAAATCTCTTAAGGGTTTGGGTCTACTTCTGTAATTTTTATTCTGGGCCTTTGGTTAGTCTGTTTATTTGTACACCAATGCCATTCTATTTTAATTACAGAGGCATTATCATATCTAGTAAGGCCAATCACCTCTCATTTGTTCTTTTGTTAACCAAGTTTCCCGGTTGTTTTTGGTTATTTATTTTTACACATTAAATTCAAAGTATTCTTATCTTGTTTAAAAAACAAAACAATGCTATTTGTAAGGGAATCATACTAAATTTACAAATTAATTGAAGACATATTGTTATCTATGATGTTATTTTGAGTCTTCCTATCCAAGAATTTGGTATCACTTTCCATTTGTTCAAATCTTCTTTTGTGATCTTCTATAGCAGGGGTGGCCAATCTTTTGGCTTCCCCAGGCCACACTGGAGGAAGAAGAATTATCTTAGGCTACACACAAAATACACTAACACTAATGATAGCTGATGAGCTTAAAAACAAATTAACAACAACAACAACAATGCAAAAAACCTCATGTTTTAAGAAAGTTTATGAATTTGCGTTGGAACACATTTAAAGCTGTCCTGGGCTCCATGCAGCCCATGGGCCACAGGTGGGACAAGCTTGTTTCTATGGTGTTTTAAAGTTGCCTTCACAGTGACTTTGTGAGGCAGGAGAATAGAGTTTGGAGGCAGGGAGCCTAAGGCTGATTGGTGCTGACTTCCTAGAACTGAAGCAAAAGGAAAACCCTACCTCTCCACAAAAGGATCAGAGGCTACTCCCTTTGCATTGCCTGGCAGATGAAAAATGGAAAGTACTTCTGATTGGTTGCAGGTCACTCCTTCATTTACATAGGGTGCAACCAAGTAAACAATGGAAAACCTCTAGAGAAAGTTTAAACCCCAGAAAACTCTGTAACCAGCTCTCTTGAGCCACTTGGTCCAGCCTGTTTCCACTCTGTGGAGAGTACTTTCATTTCAGTAAATCTGTGCTTTCATTGTTTCATTCTTTCATTGCTTTGTTTATGCATTTTGTCCAAATCTTTGTTCAAAGTGCCAAGAACCTGGACGACTTGTAGTCAAGACCCTGCACTGGTAACAGTTGCACATTTCTTATTTAGTTACTTCCTAGGTATTATTATTTTTTTATTGTTAATTTAATGTCTTTTAAAAATACACTATT